GGCACTTTTTAAGATTCTGATTCCTTGAGGGATTCTAGTGTGATCCAAACCTGTCTCTGTCTCTGCCTTACTTCCAAACACATGTTCCTTTCATCCTGGCTAATGTAAAGCTTGTGTGGTTTTCTGAACATTCCAGACTTTTAACATCTCTGTGTTCTCTCTTGTTTTGACTGCTTGAGGTGTCCTTCTCTTGTTACCTATTTAGGAAAGTCCTCTATAAGCCCAAAACTTGGATTAATTGTCACCTTGTCAAGAAAGTATGCCTTCGATGTCCATGCTCTCAAGATTGCCTTCCTAGCAGTCACCACGTTATATACTGTTTCCCCTGTACATTGTAAGCACCTTGAAGTTAGGGAGTGCCATGGTCTGAATGTTTGTGTCTCCCCAAAATTCATATGTTGAAATTCGAATCTCCAAGGTGATAGTATTAAGAGGTGCGCTTTTGAGAGGTGTTTAGATCATGAGGGTGGAACCCTTCTTAATGAGATTAGTGCCCTCATAAATAGGCCCAAGGGAGCCTGTTCACCTCACTACCTTGTGAGGACACAGCCATAAGGTGCAACCTATGTACCTTAAAGCAGGCCCTCGCCAGACCTCACATCTACTGGTACCTTGATCTTATGATTCCCAACCTCTGGAACTGTGAAAAAAAGTTTTGTTTTCTGTTTATAAGCTACACAGTTTATGGTAATTTGTTATCGCAGCCCTAACAGACTAAGACAAGGAGCATTCATCATTCAAATTCATACCCTCAGCCCTTAGTCCAGTGCTTGGTTCATTGTATAATAGTTGCTTCATAAGTACTTGTTGAATGAATAAACGGCTGGTTGAACAAGAGGATGAAGGCATGTAGCATATGAACATAACCAAGGGCACCTACAAACATAGTGAATCAGTTACATGACCTGGAATAAGTTAGTTAGACTCTTTAAGCACCTATGTCTTCATTTTTAAATTCAAAAAAATAGTACCTACCTGTGTACTTATATTATAACATTATAATATAATGTACTTACATTATAACATTCAAATGTGATAATACATGTTGTATTAGTCATGACTGTCAGAGAAACATAACCAATACGTTTTATTTAGTTTAAAAAATTCGTTTATTATTTTAAGAATAATAAACGAATGAACACACACAATTGTGGAAACTTGATGAGTCCCAACTTTGATAGGGGAGGCCTGCAAGCTGGCCTTGCAAGAAAGAGCTACAGTTCAAGTCCAAAGGTAGTCCGACATACAACCAGAAAGAGCCAATGTTGCAGATAAAGGCTGACGGCAATCTGCTGGAGAATTCCCTCCTGCTTGAGGGAGGTCAGCCTTTGTTTTAGCCAGGTCTTCTACTGATTGGATGAGGCCCACCCACATTATGGAGGGCAATTTCTTTTACTCAGAGTCCACTAATTGAAATGTAAATCTAACCCCAAAACACACACCCTCACAGAAACATGGAAAATAATGCTTGACCAAGTGTTTGGGTACTGTGGCCCAGCCAAGCTGACACATAAAATTAACTATCATATATGTAGAACATTCAGTACAGCTTCTCAGACAATCATTAGGAAGTGCTCACTAACCACACTCGCTGGTCTGGTCCTATGTCCCCACTCATGTCTGGAGGTAAGGTGCCATGAGAATGTGTGTGTAGGAGTCAATGGCTCCTGGTGTCTTGCTGGATGGGAATAATGTGGTTTTCATTCTTCCTTATTTTGAGTCTCTCCATAAACAACACATGTAAAATTGAGTTATGTTTTCTACAATGCATGGATAACACACTTCTTTTTTTTTTCTTTTTCTTTTTTTTTTGTTGCATTTTAGGTTTTGGGGTACATGTGAAGAACATGCAAGATTGTTGCATAGGTACACACATGGCAGTGTGATTTGCTGCCTTCCTCCCTATCACCTGTATCTGGCATTTCTCCCCATACTATCTCTCCCCAACTCTCCACCCCCTGCTGTCCCTCCCCTATTTCCCCCCAACAGACCCCAGTGTGTGATGCTCCCCTCCCTGTGTCCATGTGTTCTCATTGTTCAACTCCCGACTATGAGTGAGAACATGCGGTGTTTGATTTTCTGTTCTCAGATAAGTCAGTTTGCTGAGAATGATGGTTTCCAGGCTCATCCACGTCCCTACAAAGGACACGAACTCATCGTTTTTGATGGCTGCATAGTATTCCATGGTGTATATGTGCCACATTTTCCCTGTCCAGTCTATCATTGATGGGCATTTGGGTTGGTTCCAGGTTTTTGCTATTGTAAACAGTGCTGCAATGAACATTCGTGTGCACGTGTCCTTATAGTAGAATGATTTATAATCCTTTGGATATATACCCAGTAATGGGATCGCTGGGTCAAATGGAATTTCTATTTCTAGGTCCTTGAGGAATTGCCACACTGTCTTCCACAATGGTTGAACTAGTTTACACTCCCACCAACAGTGTAAAAGTGTTCCTATTTCTCCATATCGTTTCCAGCATCTGTTGTCTCCAGATTTTTTAATGATTGCCATTCTAACTGGCGTGAGATGGTATCTCAACGTAGTTTTGATTTGCATTTCTCTAATGACCAGTGATGATGAGCATTTTTTCATGTTTGTTGGCCTCATGTATGTCTTCTTTTGTAAAGTATCTATTGATATCCTTTACCCACTTTTGAGGCACTAAACACAGAAAGGAACAACCAGTACCAGCTACTCCAAAAACATACCGAATGGTAAAGAGCATCAACACAATGAAGAAACTGCATCAACTAACAGGCAAAACAGCCAGCTAGCATCAAAACGGCAGGATCAAATTTACACATAACAATATTAACCCTAAATGTAAATGGGCTAAATGCCCCAATGAAAAGACACAGACTGGCAAATTGGATAAAAAGCCAGAACCCATCTGTGTGCTGTATCCAGGAAATGCATCTCACATGCAAGGATACACATAGGCTCAAAATAAAGGGATGGAGGAAGATTTACCAAGCAAATGGAGAGCAAAAAAAAAAAGCAGGAGTTGCAATTCTCGTCTCTGATAAAATAGACTTCAAACCAACAAAGATCAAAAGAGACAAATAAACACTTCTTAGTATGAAGTAAAAAGTGAATAGAACAGAAAGAAATGTGTGTAAGGAAGAAACTAGTGGAAAATCATGAATTGCCATGGCCTAACCCTGGTCACTTGTAGTTCTCCAAAGCAGTTAAAGAAAACAGCTAAAGCATTTTGCTTTCTCTTTCTCAGAAAACAATGCAAAGGTCATGATTTTTTCTTTAATCTCTATTAAGGAAATTTCTGCCTGGCATTTGACATTCAGTATCCTGAAGAGGACTCAGGTGTGTACACACATGTGTATCTTTCACAATATTCCCAGAAGGCTACTGAACTCCCAGAGTGAAAAACTCTCATCAGATTGAGGTAGGGAATAAGACATTATGATGACATCCATGTAGTTCTGGTAAATTTCTTTTCTAGATTACTGGAACTGTTTTCTAAGTGTTACCAAAAGTTAAAATTCCCCACCGTGATGAGAATTCCCCACTCTCTTGCATGACAAGAATGCAAAGAGAGTCAGTTTATATGGCTCATTAATATCACATCTAAGGAGTAATATTAAGTGACATGTGTACTTCATATAGTGAGACTGGCACTTCCAGGCAGGCAGGCTGCCACTTTCCATTTGTCCCTGCCCATGGGCTATTGGCAAGAATCTTGGCCTGTTCCCAGTAAAAGATGCCTTTTGGTAGAGTAGAATCTAATTCAGTAGGTAAAGCTGGGTAAGAAAGACAGGAAGTGAAACATTTGAGTAACTACATGGTCCTCACCCTCATTTTACTTAAACTATCATGGGTTTTATATTTGGATGGAATTCTCATAGGACTAACCAAAAACTGCTCTATTTTAAAATCTAAATGGTCTATATGAAATCGCATTTGCAAAAGAGGCAGCAAAAGACCATGTTTAAAATACATATGATATTTTATTTGATATTATTCAATCATACAGGTTTTGTGGTAAATTTGCATTTCTAAAAGTGCATAATCAAACATTTTATTTTTCTAGCTCTTGAATTTGCCATAGAAATAAGCTATAGATTGTTACTTTCTGAGTTACTACTTATAGATTCGTATTGAAGTATGCCATGAAGAGGAGATAAATGAATTTATATGAAACTATTTACTGATTATGAAAATAGAGAAATACAAAAATATTATCTAATGATAACAGAAAATATATTTCTTTTTTTATTCCATTACTTTTGAAATTAAACATAAACACTAAAATAGAAAGTAGTCAAACTGATTTGGCATATTTCATATATATCATCAATGCTATATTTTTCATTCTTGAATAATGAAGCACATGACTCAGCATTGTATAGTTTGGGCTTTGTTCAAACATTAGTTACTATAATCATGAAAGTAACTATTAAAACCTGTCAGAGCAGGTATGTGCACAGCAAAAGAGTGGCTTTAACCAGGCTCTATCCTATCATCTTATTTTGTTAGGAACAAACATAGTTTAAAGAGGAATGCCATTACAAGAGGATGAGTTTGGATACCCATCTCAGGCATGAGTAGTAAATGGCATCTAGTTAGTAAATACTCTCACTATCAGTATCCAACACCAAAAAGAAGCAATTTCAGCAAAGAGGGTTTTACTTAACAGGGTTCTACAAACCCAGTGTTAGGCTTTCTTTTCCTGTTGTAGCAAATAATGTTTTGACTTTCTTCATTTGTGCTTTATGGACTTAATTACATTTTCTTAGAAACGGCATTAAAATTAAAGGTAATTTTTAATGATAAAATGTTTCCTTGGATACATTTTCTTGTATGTTAAAGTGTACTTTGTTTCAAAGTGCTTAATTTCACTTACAATTAGAAATCAAATATGGAGCACAGCATAGGGCAATTTGAAAACTGTCACACTAATTGCCACAAAAAAGTTAATTTTTCATGTAAGACAATGGCGGTGAACATCCAATTAACTGCCACACAGGA